AGGGATTGATTGGGGGCAGGATGAGAAGGGGACGACAGAAGATGAGATGGCTGGATGGCGTCACAGACTCGATGGACATGAGTTTTGAGTAAACTCTGGGAATTGGTGATGGACAGGGAGGCCTGGCGTGCTGCAATTCATGGGATCGCAGAGAGTCAGACATGACTGAGCGACTGAACTGAGCTGAACTGAAAAGTTCACATGCATTCTGGAATGAGGCAATGACATATCCAAAATGTCAGCAATGTAGTAAAAAATGTTTAGACAAAATTAGCTGCTGTTAAAAAGTATAGTATTCCAAGGGCTTGAAAAATTTCCCAGGCTCAAACTTAGCTTAAAAGTATCAGCCTAAAAAGAATACCTGTATGATTTATCCTCCTAAGTCGTCTCAGCAAACCCTATGAAACTTGCTGAAAGCTTGGCCTCTCTACACCACTGCCAAATGAAACCCTGGAGACAACAGTTTTGGGTAAAGCTGAAAATGATAGCTTTACTGCTTTGCCAAGCAAAGGAAGACACACCCTGGTATTTGCCTCAAAAAACTGTCTCAACTTGAAGAGGGTTTTCATAACAGTGGCTCAAAGGAGGGGTCTCTGACAAGACTAGGGTGTGAATGCCCATAATCTCATCTCAGGTGGTCTCAGTCTCCTAATCTTGATGAGCTTCTCTGATCTTTAATCTTGCCTCAGGTGGTTTCTTGGCTGCTCCTCCCTTGACTAGCAACTGTTTGAATAGTCCTTTAGAACTCTAGAAAGATCACAGAAACTAGAGTCCTGACTGCAAGAAATGGAGGACAGAAAGGCCTCTGTGCCTGGGAGCCCCACAAGGCCCTGCCAAGTTTCAAAACTACTTGAGAAAAAAAAAATATTTGAGAGGGAATCCTGTACTTTTCCTAATTCCTTATACCCACAGCCAAAGTAATCTCTTTAAAATGCAAACCCGATCATAACAGTCCCTTGATTTTTGTCCCTATATTGTATCTTGGAAAATTGCAAAGGCAGAAATGTTAAAAGAATTTTATAGTGAATATCCTACATCCAGTTTACTGTATACCCACACGTTGTTGTTGTTCAGTCGCCAAGTCGTGTCAGACGCTTTGCACCCCCATTGACTGGAGCATACCAGGTGTCCCTGTCCTTCACTATCTCCTAGCATTTGCTCAAAATCACCTCCACTGAGTTGGTGATGCCATCCAACCATCTCATCTTCTGTCGCCCCCTGCTCCTTTTACCTTCAATCTTTCCCAGAATCAGGGTCTTTTTCAATGAGTCAACTCTGGATTGTCAGATTTTTCTTTCAGTATTTTAAACATCCTCTATTCACTCTGCTCCATTTTAATTTTTCTATACTTCAGTTTCCACATTTATAGAATAAAAATATCAGTACCAATGTCAGAGGGCTGCTACGAGAAGTCCTCTATAAATTAGAAAATCCATATTGTTTTATACAAAGCAGGTACTAAATCTTTTCTATATTTAGTAACTAGTATAATTATTTGCTTAATGCTTCCAATAGAGTGCAAGCTCCATGATGGCAAGCAGGAATGCCTGTGTGGTTCACCATTTTATTCCCATTACCTGGCACATCATCTGGTACAGAATAGGTATTCAATATTTATTGAATGAATGAGCAGAAATCAGCAAAGATATTTGGACTAGAGACAATAAAAACTGGAGCATAACCTTCAAGAGTATTATTGCTTTAGGTTATACTACTAAGATAGTTCTTTATATGAATGTCAGAATTTACGCAGATGACATATACACACATAGAAGATCCCTACTGGAATACCCAAGAACTATTAACAGTCACTGCCTCTGGGGAAAGGATCTGAGGACCTGGGGGCCAAGGATTTACTTTTACTATAAGCTCTTTTGCACTTTCTTCCCTATACACAAATCCAACCAACCATGATGGTACAAAACTTTAGTATTTTTTTTTTAATCTGCATGTAAGTGGACTCACGCAGTTCAAATTCATGTTGTTCAATGGTTAACTGTATTATCATTTTTTAAATAAAAGCAATTTTTAAAACTCATAATATCAAGAAGTTTGACTTCTACATATTTTGAACTTTCAGAGTGGTTCTAATCTGGCTATCACACGACATAAATTAATTTCAATTTACTGATACTCCAAAAAGTGTAATTTCACTAGATACTGATTATCCACCTAAAAAGATACAAGGGGAAAAATAGTATAACTACCAAGAGTAATAACAATTTTACATTTATACACTAGTTTATAGTTTACAAAATATGGTGGGAAACTGTGTGACCTTGGAATTAAACAAAAATACCTAATATGTTTACCACCTTGAGTAAATTCTGATCTCTTTGAGAGATCAGAACAATGCCACCTAGTTATCAGAGCTTCACTTTAAAAAAAAAAGACAATTTCTTGCAGTGAGTTTTGTCTTTTTAAAGGTAATTATTTGTGGAATAGTTAACACTAGTTTTAAAGTTATAAAGGTACAAAAGGGATTCAGTTCAGTTCAGTCGCTCAATCATGTCCGACTCTTTGAGACCCCATGAATCGTAGCATGCCAGGCCTCCCTGTCCATCACCAACTCCCGGAGTTTACTCAAACTCATGTCCATCGAGTTGGTGATGCCATCTAGCCATCTCATCCTCTGTTGTCCCCTTCTCATCCTGTCCCCAACCCCTCCCAGCATCAGGGTCTTTTCCAATGAGTCAACTCTTCGAGTGAGGTGGCCAAAGAATTGGATTTTCAGCTTCAGCATCAGTCCTTCCAATGAACACCCAGGACTGATCTCCTTTAGGATGGACTGGTTGGATCTCCTTGCAGTCCAAGGGTCTCTCAAGAGTCATCTTCAACACCACAGTCCAAAAGCATCAATTTTTCGGCGCTCAGCTTTCTTCACAGTCCAACTCTCACATCCATACATGACCACTGGAAAAACCATAGCCTTGACCAGATGAACCTTTGTTGGCAAAGTAATGTCTCTGCTTTTTAATATGCTATCTAGGTGGGTCATAACTTTCCTTCCAAGAAGTAAGCGTCTTTTAACTTCGTGGCTGCAATCACCATCTGCAGTGATTTTGGAGCCCCCCAAAATAAAGCCTGAAACTGCTTCCACTGTTTCCCCATCTATTTCCCATTAAGTGATGGGACCATGCCATGCCATGATCTTAGTTTTCTGAATGTTGAGCTTTAAGCCAACTTTTTCACTCTCCACTTTCACTTTCATCAAGAGGCTTTCTAGTTCCTCTTCACTGTCAGCCATAAGGGTGGTGTCATCTGCATATCTGAGGTTACAGCTGGTTTTAAGGAGGTGAAATGCAGTTTCATAAAGAAGTACTCAGACTTAACTACCATAACCCACTAAGCAATCTCACCATCACTACTGGGGGGAAACTACAGTACGCAGTCTGATCTTTGACACAGTCCCCAAAGTGTTTACCTGAACAAATCAAGTATTACCTCTACCTTCAACTTTATAGTAACATGTTAAATGATAACACTAAGAATCAATCAGAGATCTGGATAACTGTATTACTCTCATTGAGTCATGATGAAAAAAGAAGAGAAAAAAGGTAACTTCTAGATTTAAAAAGGCTTCAAGAGATGTAACAGTCAACTCAATGCATAGATGGATCAAAAATTGTAAAAACAAGAAAATGGGATAATTTGGGGAAATTTTTAATAAGGATCAGGTATTAGATAACATAAACTGTTGTTCAGTGTGATTATTATATAGGGTTACATAGAAAAAATTTTCTTTTCATTAGAGACACATATTTAAGTATTTAGGGTGAAATATTAGGAATAAAAATAGCAAATACAGCAAACTATTAAGGAATTTTAAAACCTGAGTGATCAATTTACAGGGGGTTCAAAATAGTATCTTCCCTACTTTTCTGGATGCTTAAAAGTTTTCATAATAAAAAAATAAAACAAAAAAGCTTACAAAAAAAGAGAAAATTATTCCTCTCCCACTCCTGTTTCCTAGCCACCCCCACTTCATCACTGTTTCTTATGTATTCTAACAGAGATATTCTATGCATATATATACGTACAATAATCACCATTCACAGTTCTTCCTTTTTAAATATCTTCCTTTCAATCAAAGCAATTGGATTTGAACTAACCTGATCAGACTCTACACGTCCTAACTCCTTCCAAGCCACTTTAAAACCATCTAGTATCTTTAATTAAGGCTATCATTTTCTAGACTCAATAGTTAACTCTAGAAACTGTAACTGTAGTGTAGCTGCTTCTCAACAAAAGTGCTTAACAATATCTAACTTGATGTAACATGGAGAAAATAACCTTTCCATCGTATTTGAATTTCACCACTTCCCTAGCTAGGTTAGGCAAATTATCATCAAACTTTCAGCGACCTCATCTGAAATGTGCGCCAAAAAAAAAAAAAAAATTTCCATTATAATATCTCATAAATTTTTTGTGACAGACCTGAGTGTATCTGGCACATGTGTAGTAGGTGCTAGATAAACCCTAACTGAACCTAATTATTATCTTCTATTGTTTCACTAACTTGAGACCAGGGTTTAAAACAAATTTTAAGATTTTCCAAGGGGCTTAGAATAGTATTAGGCTCTTGGTAAGTGTTCAAAAGTTATTTTGTCTTGAGTAAATCTGATATAAAACTTTATGGTGGATAAAGACATTTGCTAGATTAAGAGAAATTTCCTTAACTACCATGGAGTTCCAAATTGTTAAAATCCATGGAAATAAACTTCCAACAAGACGGCTTAATCTGATTCTCAAAGATGATTAAATTGAGCAGACTGAAGGGGGAGTGGCGTGCAAAGCATTTCCTCTCCATAATTATGCACTGAGATTCGGACTAAATGTTAAATTGACACACAGTAAGCTCTTCTTAATTAGTAGCTATTATTAAGACGCATCCCACCAAGGAGTCCGAAGGAGGAAAAAGAACAGAGGCTGTCTGTCACAAGAGGTGGAAAGGTGTCCGCGGCCTGAGACCCGTAGGCCTTTAAGGGGTACCTGAGTCTATGGGCTCCCTGTTGCCCTGGGGGGCGAAAGTCAGCGACCTCCCCGAAAGGTCAAGCCTCTGGAGCCACGCTTCCCGCCGGGGCTGGGAGCAGAGCCGGAACGCCCCCGCGAGACACTGTATCCCGAGGCCAGAAGCACCGCCGGCCCGTAATCCCGCGCGACCCCTTCAAGAGAGGACGACCCGCAGCCCCCGCCCGCAGCCCTCAGGAGCAGAGACCCGCGGCTTCCTGCACCCCCACAGCCTCCCTACAGCGGCAGACCCCCAGGTCCCTGGGGTTCCGATACGCCTGGGCGCCGCCCGGCCCTTCGATACTCACACTCACAGCCGACCCCTCTTACTCCATCAGGCCCCCGAGGCGCCGGCGAGGGAGCCCACTGACGCCCCAGCCACCCCCCTCAGCTTTGGGTCCGGCGGCCCGCTCCGGACCCGCTCCCCACCGGGAAACCCCGCCGCCGCCGCCAGAGCGCAGGCGCACAGCGCTTCCGTCGCTCTCACTTCCACCCCCCCCAACCCCACCCCCCCACAATGGTCCGCCTTTCTCAACAACCTAGCTTTATTTGAACACAGAAGAGTGAACAACGGACACAGAGGAACAAGGCTTTACTTCAAAAGAATGGAAGATCAAAAGGCAGACCAGCTGTCAGAAGAATTATCCCGCTGCACCGGACTCTGCTGTAACGCTGTAAACAGCCTCCCTCGTTTTTTTCCCATTCTTTTTGCTTTTTTTAGGCTTCCCTCTTGCTCCTACACTCTTCCTAAGCTCTGACCGTTCCCCGAGGCAGTGGCAACTGTTGTGGCTAAATTTCCAATCACTCTTTCCTTGTAAAATTTACTGAAGCTTATTGAAAGTTGCAAGAGCTTCAGGACAGACAGTCCCGAGTTCAAATCTTGACTTCAGTTCAGTTCAGTTCTCAGTCGTGTCCGACTCTTTGAGACCCCATGAATTGCAGCACGCCAGGCCTCACTGTCCATCACCAACCCCCAGAGTCTACTCAAACCCATGTCCATCGAGTCGGTGATGCCATCCAGCCATCTCATCCTCTGTCGTCCCCTTCTCCTCCTGCCCCCAATCCTTCCCAGCATCAGGGTCTTTTCCAATGAGTCAGCTCTTCGTATCAGGTGGCCAAACTATTAGAGTTTCAACTTTGACATCAGTCCTTCCAATGAACACCCAGGACTGATCTCCTTCAGGATGGACTGGTTGGATCTTGCAGTCCAAGGGACTCTCAAGAGTCTTCTCCGACACCACAGTCCAAAAGCATCAATTTTTCGGCGCTCAGCTTTCTTTATAGTCCAATTCTCACATCCATACATAGCTACTGGAAAAACCATAGCCTTGACTAGACGGACCTTTGTTGGCAAAGTAATGTCTCTGCTTTTTAATATGCTATCTAGGTTGATCATTAACTTTCCTTTCAAGGAGTAAGTGTCTTTTAATTTCATGGCTGCAATCACCATCTGCAGTGATTTTGGAGCCCACAAAAATAAATTCTGACCCTGTTTCTACTGTTTCCCCATCTATTTCCCATGAAGTGATGGGACCAGATGCCATGATCTTAGTTTTCTGAATGTTGAGCTTTAAACCAACTTTTTCACTCTCCTCTTTCCCTTTCATCAAGAGACTTTTCAGTTCCTCTTCACTTTCTGCCATAAGGGTGGTGTCATCTGCATATCGAGGTTATTGATATTTCTTCCAGCAATCTTGATTGCAGCTTGTGCTTCTTCCAGCCCAGCGTTTCTCAAGATGTACTGTGCATTTAAGTTAAATAAGCAGTGTGACAATATACAGCCTTGACGTACTCCTTTTCCTATTTGGAACCAGTCTGTTGGTCCATGTCCAGTTCTAACTGTTGCTTCCTGACCTGCATACAGGTTTCTCAAGAGGCAGGTCAGGTGGTCTGGTATTCCCATCTCCTTCAGAATTTTCCAGTTTCTTGTGATCCACACAGTCAAAGACTTTGGCATAGTCAATAAAGCAGAAATAGATGTTTTTCTCTTACTTTTTCGATGATCCAGCGGATGTTGGCAATTTGATTTCTGGTTCCTCTACCTTTTCTAAAACCAGCTTGAACATCTGGAAGTTCATGGGTTCATGTATTGCTGAAGCCTTGATTGGAGAATTTTGGGCATTACTTTACTAGCGTGTGAGATGAGTGCAATTGTGCGGTAGCTTGAGCATTCTTTGGGATTACCTTTCTTTGGGACTGGAATGAAAACACATTTTCCAGTCCTGTGGCCACTGCTGAGTTTTCCAAATTTGCTGACATATTGAGTGCAGCACTTTCACAGCATCATCTTTCAGGATTTGAAATAGCTCAACTGGAATTCCATCACCTCCACTAGCTTTGTTCGTAGTGATGCTATCTAAGGCCCACTTGACTTCACATTCCAGGATGTCTGGCTCTAGGTGAGTGATCACACCATCATGATTATCTGGGTCGTGAAGATCTTTTTTGTACAGTTGTTCTGTGTATTCTTACCACCTCTTCTTAATATCTTTTGCTTCTGCTAGGTCCCTACCATTTCTGCCCTTTATTGTGCCCATCTTTGCATGAAATGTTCCCTTGGTATCTAATTTTCTTGAAGAGATCTCTAGTCTTTCCTATTCTGTTGTTTTCCTCTATTTCTTTGCATTGATCGTTGAGGAAGGCTTTCTTATCTCTCCTTGCTATTCTTTGGAACTCTGCATTCAAATGGGAATATCTTTCCTTTTCTCCTTTGCTTTTTGCTTCTCTTCTTTTCACAGCTATTTGTAAGGCCTCCTCAGACAACCATTTTGCCTTTTGGCATTTCTTTTCCATGGGGATGGACTTGATTCCTGTCTCCTGTACAATGTCATGAACCTCCGTCCATAGTTCATCAGGCACTCTGTCTATCAGATCTAGTCCCTTAAATCTATTTCTCACTTCCACAGTATAGTCATAAGGGATTTGATTTAGGTCATACCCGAATGGTCTAGTGGTTTTCCCTACTTTCTTCAATTTAAGTCTGAAAATCTTGACTTAAGTACTAGTAATTTTTGATATTGGGAAAATTACAAGTTTTCACGAACCTTACTTCCCGCAGAGTTAAAATTCAGATAGATACCTCAATCTTTCAGGATGTTGCTGAGATTAAGTGACATAACATAGGTCAAGTGCCTGTCTGTAAAGCAGATAATTGGTTCCTATCATAAAGCAGATAATCCATTAACACCAATACTTATATTCTTATTAGTACTTGATTTATTTATATTCATTAAATTTAGCCCATGCCCATTACCTGAGGATCTTCTTTTAGTGACTAAAACTACTCAGATAAACCAAGTTACATTAAAGTTGATAATGATGTGAATTTCCTATATTATTGAACTTCTAATATTGCTTGCTTGACAAGACCTTCAACGCCTCAGATGAAAGTAAGCAGCTCCCTCCACCTATGTGTAAGTCCAAATTGGCTTCTGGAGGATTAAAGAATTTATTCCCATTCTGTACTTGTGACATCACAAGTGTTTGAAACACCAAGGTGTGGGGTATGAAGCGCATTCTTCTCTCTTTTAAAGGCATGCAATGGAAGAACTGCTTTACCTTATAAGCTCAGGGCCATAGTCCAAGGGAAAGCTTGTAGAAGACCAAGGTCATTTGTTGGTGAGCATCAAGGTAATCCCAGATGAGGGTTTTTCAACCTTGGCTCTGTTGACATTTTGGAGAAAACTCTTGTGCTGTCCTGCTCTTGAGCCCAGGAGCTGCAACTACTGAGCCCACGTACCACAGCTACTGAAGCCAGCATGTGCAGAGCCCATGCTCCACAGCAAAAGAAGCCACTGCAATGAGAAGCCCATGCACCACAACTAACCCCCACTCTGCAACTAGAGAAAAGCTCACACAGCAACAAAGACCCAGCAAGTCACAAGTTACTTAATTAAAAAAATCCTCCAGCTAATGCAGGAGACACAAGAGACATGGGTTCCATCCCTGGGTTGGGAAGATTCCCTGGAGGAGGAAATGGCAACCCACTCTAATATTCTTGCCTGTGAAATATGATGGACAGAGATGCCCAGTGAGTTACAGTACATGGGATCACAAAAGAATTGGACACGACTTAGGGACTAAACCACCACCATACAGGCCCTCAACACCAGTTGCCACGCCTACTACTATTCTCTGGTAGACTTGCTCCATCAGTTTCTACAGCAATATTTCAAGTCTTCTTCACTTAACTCCTAATTCTCTATCAATAGATGACTTTGTCTCCTACTTCACAGAGAAAATAAGAGGCCATCAGATGAGAAGTTCTTTAACTTCCTGTTACTAAACATACAGATTTACAAATACTTCCTGTTATAAAATTGAGGAGATATCTTCTCTAGCTTGTTTCCAAGACCTTTCCTTCCCTCAGTACTTTGGACTGCCTCTACACTTACCCACTCAAGATCTACTGACTAGCACTTCTCTTTAAAACTATTTTCTTTCTCAGTTGCATCTTACCTAGCATGCTTAAGTTTTTCCTGTCTTAATTCTAATAGCAACCAAAAAAGCAGAAACAAAAAACTGGAACACTTGTCTTCTTTCCCCATTCCCCTCAAGACCATACTTTCCAAAAGCATTCTACAACTTGTCCCCATTTCTGCATCTCCTCTCTCCAGACTGCTGCAATCTATCTTTAACTCTGTCATTTCATCACATAGCTTTCACTAAGATCACCAATAACTCTGTGGTGGTGTTTCTCAGATTGCATCTTCCTTGACTCCTTAGGAATAGACAACTCCTTTGAAACTTCTTTTATTTCCAGCACTGTGCTGTACTCTCAGAGGAGCCTGGAGCAGTTGCCGGATCTGCTTTTAAACCTTTAAATATTCTCAGTGATCATGGTAAAGTGTAGGCTCACTAGTCCAAAAGTACAAGATTTTCCAAGACTTGGCCATTGCCAACTTTTAAGAACTCATTTCCCGCTTCACCGGAAGATATACGAAGAGCTTTAAGCCTCTAAATAGGATGAACCACAAGGAAACTTCCAGAAGGCTCTGTGGTCTTCTTGGACTCTCCAATGCCCACAGTCTGGAAACCTTTATCTCCCTCCGGTACCTCCGGGGCAACTCCTACTTATCCTTCATGACTCAAAACTCACTTCCTCCGGGAACCCTTTCAGATACCCTAAGAAAAAAGCTCTTAGTTCATTGTGCGCCAGTGGCGCCTCGGATGTTCTGTGTGCCAAGCACTATATTCTGTCCACTATAATATGTTTACACATCTATCTCCCAGTATAGACAGAGGTCAGGGAAGGCATTCTATTCGCCGCCTTTTCCTCAGCATTCATCCCGCCCAAGGCCTGGCACACGTTTTGCCCCCAGTGAAAGTTTGTTGCCTGAACACCGCCCACCTTTGGGCGGTACTCGAATTATCCGGTAAACGGGTGAGTCCCAGGGCTCGCCGCCTGCGTGGCAGGGAGATTTAAAGCCCTCGCACGGTGATTGGCTCCAGCTGCAGGGGTGTGTCCGGGCTCTCCGCGCCGGGGAAGTGCGCAGGCGCGCCGGTCTGGCGAACGCAGGCGCAAGAAGGGCGCAGCTGGGAGTCCGGCCTGCGGGTGTCCGAGCTGTAGCGGCCGGAGAGGAGTGGCTGGAACTCGCTTGGTGAGTCTCCAGGAGTGGGAATGAGTGAGCTGGCCGGGGAGAAGATTGGGATCATAATCCCAAGGAGAAAGAGTGTATCGTGACGGTTGAAAAGTTGGTGAGGTAGGGCTTAAGGGAAGAAGGTGGCGCTCTGACCGGGACTGGGCAGGTCCGGCCCT